AAAATTATGCTAATGAGGTCATCGCCATCTTGGATTACAAGCGGTAGTTTTTCCCGGCCGTTTTGACTTGCACTGATCACGGTTACTAAATTCGCTGACATAAAACAAGTTTTATTCTTGAAATTTGACCCTGTGTCTTAGTGTTCCCACAGTTCTTGACCGAGTGCTCACGTTTATTGAAACCTCGCATAAATCAAGAAATAAGTACGTGTACAAAGTGTACGAAAGCATTCCTTTATTTGACCTTATACGATCACAAAAACAACTTTTTTAAATCTTTTTTGGGGTGGTCCTCGGGTAAGCGCCCACCCCCAATTTTTCCCGATTTTGTATGTTCAGGCCCCTGGGCGCGTGCCCGGGGTAATACGGTAAATGAAATTGTGAAGGTTTGACTATTGTTTCTAAATGAAGTGATTGTAGCACAAGACTTCCTCGACGCGAGTTTTTTGCTAAGCAGATTGTTACTCATTAACAGGTAGAAGATGATGATCTCGTCAAATTGATTTTCGAAAAAACCAAGCTGTGAAGTCTGAAAGATTGTTGATAAGATCAAATGAGTTTTGTCCATTCAAGCGGGGATATTTCGTTCAAACTGTTAACACCATTCTGATCCTACGTTCAACAAACTTCATGTCTCTAGTTCGCTGCTTAAAGAAAGTTATCGGTAATTTTCCTTGAACTCCCGGTCTGTCTGATCCGAGTCTGCACTCAAGACGCCAATGATCAAATCAATCAACTTGTGACAAGTTCATCAACCCCTCAAAAGAGAAAACGAGGCTAGTACAGTTTCTACGATAATGAAATTCTGGCTAAAATAGTGAAGTCTTCAATTAAAATTGGCGTAATGAAGACATTGAGAGAATTAGCAAAGAACTGAACATAAACGAGAACGAAAGCACAGTTTGAAGCATTAAATCAAACTTCAGAGAGCTGCCAAAGATGCAGATCAACTAGGCCTAAAGGTCAGCGAGGTCAACCCTTATTGCTTAGTGCAAGGCATTGATACAGAAATGGATACGCAGCGCAAGGTTAAATGGTGGGGTGATCAACAACAGGATTGACATGGGTGCCGCTACTTGTATCGTAATAAAACGACAAATCACTGTCTCAATGACGGAAATTTGTTGCATCCACAAATTATTTATGGTGGAAAAATCGATCGATGCCATCCCAATGTGAACTTCCCAAATGGATGACTCGTAGATCACACAATGTCCCATTGGTGTACTGGAGAATCAATGCTGTGTTATGTCAAGAAAATGATTGTATTCTATGTCGTGGACCAACGAGTGAAACTTGAGTTCCCACTAGACCACAAAACACTTGTTCGACATATTCAAAGCTCATCGCAAGAAAATGCTATGCAGTCTTTTAGCAGAAAATAATATCAAGGCGGTATTTATTCCAGCAGCTTGTACAGACAAATTACAGCTGTGTGACTTATCCATAAATAAAATTAAAA